CTGGAAACCCCTCTGGAGGTGACACCATCCCTGGATGAGATTCCCCCATCACCAGTGATGTTTTCCTGTCTCTCTTCCAGTCAGATATTGGCTTTGGGAAGCTGGAAACCTACGTCAAACTGGACAAACTGGGAGAGGTGAGTTTGTAAGGAATTAAATGAACCTCGAAATGCACAAATCCTCGAAATCCAGAAATTTTCGGACCGAACCCTTTTTTTGAGGAGTCCAGACCTAGCGCTGCCACTCCAAATAGTCCTTCCCCCGAACGATTTGGGGACAGCGGTGCTGTGCCACCCTTGGCCAAAGTCTCTTGTCGCCTGTCCCCTGCCAGGGCACCTACGCCACGGTGTTCAAGGGGCGCAGCAAACTGACGGAAAACCTGGTGGCGCTGAAGGAAATCCGCCTGGAGCACGAGGAGGGCGCTCCTTGCACGGCAATCAGGGAAGGTGAGGCCGGGAGGGGCTTTTTCCGAGCCTCCGAGGGGATTTGGGATGGGGATTTTGGTCCCGTCCCGTCCCCGCCCGTCCCAACCCCGCTGTCCCCGCAGTGTCACTGCTCAAGAACCTCAAGCACGCCAACATCGTCACCCTGCACGACATCATCCACACCGAGCGCTCGCTCACGCTCGTCTTCGAGTTTCTGGTGGGTCTGGGGGCTCCTCCGGGGACAAGGGGGGTGCTGAGGGGGTTTTGGGGACACGGGGAGGTCGGACTGACGTGTCCTCCCCGCTGCAGGACAATGACCTCAAGCAGTACCTGGAGAACTGCGGGAACCTGATGAGCGTGCACAATGTGAAGGTGATGGGGGGTCTCCGGGACCCCGCCCCCGGGTGGGGGTTATTTGGGGCTGGGGGAGCCTGGAGATCCCTTCTCCCCTCTGTTCTTGCTCTCTTTGCCCTTTTCCAGCCTGTTCCGGTGTCTTCCCGGTCATAAAATAAATTTCCCCCTAAATAAAATCCCTGCCCGTGCCCACTTTGCTCATCCCCATTTGTTATTTTTCCCCACAGCATTTCCTAGTCACTGCCACCCTAAAAAAAGTCCCTGCACGTGCCTACTTTGCTCGTTCCTATTTGTGACCCTTCCCCACAGCATTTCCCCAGTCACTGCCACCCTAAAAAAAAAAAATCCCTGTGTGTGCCCACTTCATTCGTCCCCTTCTATGACACTTCCCAACACCTCCCCACAACATTTCCCAGTCACTGCCACCCTAAATAAAACCCCTGCATGTGCCCACTTTGCTCGACCCCTTCAGTGACACTTCCCTTCAGAATTTCACTGCCACCCTAAATAAAAATCTCTAGATGAGCCCACTTTGCTCATCCCCATTTGTGACCCTTCCCCACAGCATTTCCCAGTCACCACCACCCTAAATAAAATCCCTGAATGCACCCACCTTGTTCATCCCCATTTGTGACCCTTCCCCACAGCATTTCCCAGTCACCACCACCCTAAATAAAATCCCTGAATGTGTTCACTTCATTCGTCCCCTTCTGTGACATTTTCCCGCAGCATTTCCCACCCCAACACAGCTCCAGGGGTCTTTCCTGCCCATGGCCCCGAGATTCCTCGAGGTTTATTTTTGGTGCCAACATCCCCATCCTAAATCCACCTCCTTTCTCCTCCTCCTCCTCCTCGCAGATCTTCATGTTCCAGCTGCTCCGAGGCCTGGCTTATTGCCACGGCAGGAAAATCCTACACCGGGACCTCAAACCCCAGAACCTGCTGATCAACGAGCGGGGCGAGCTCAAGCTGGCTGATTTCGGTGGGTGAACCCCGGCAGGACCGATGCAGGATTGGGGATTGGGGAAAGGGGCGGCTCTTTGATGTGCGCGTCCCTTCCACCCCCAGGATTAGCCCGGGCCAAGTCGGTGCCTACAAAAACCTACTCCAACGAGGTGGTGACGCTGTGGTACCGGCCCCCTGATGTCCTGCTGGGCTCCACCGAGTACTCCACGCCCATCGACATGTGGTGAGGCTGAACTCAGAGCTCCAAGCTCCAAGCTCCGAGCTCCAAGCTCCAAGCTCCAAGCTCCAAGCTCCGAGCTCCGAGTGGAGCTTCCCGGGCTCTCCAGGGCGGGGTCGGGCATTTCCAGCCCCATCCCTATTGTGCTGGGTACAGCTGAGGGTGGGGGCTCTCCCTGAGCTGTTTTCCCTGTTCCCTGGGGCTGCTGACACCAGAATTTTGGGCGCTCTCCCAGAGATGTTTTCCAGGTTCTTGGGGTTCTCCCTGAGCAGTTTTCCCTTTSCCCTGGGGCTGTTAAAACCAGAATTTTAGGGGTTCCTCCAGAGCCGGTTTTTTTCTGTCCCTGGGGCTCTCCCAGAGCTGTTTTTCACGGGGCTGTTAACACCAGAGGTTTGGGGGCTCTCAGCGCAGTTCTCCCTGTTCCTGGGGGTCTTCCAGTGCAGTTTTCCCTGTTCCTGGGGGTCTTCCAGTGCAGTTGTCCCTGTTCCCTGGGGCTCAGGGTCTCAGGATCGTGCCATCCGCATTCATCGGGGTGAATGCCGGGATCCATCTCCCGGAGTTCATCCGCTCTCCAGCATCCCAGGGCCCCCGGGGTTGGTCCCTTCCCCCGCGGTCCCTCCACTCCTGACCCCGCCGGGTTTGTCCCTCTCACCCCCCGGGTTTGTCCCGCCTTGACCCCGTCGGGTTTGTCCCTCTCTCCCCCGGGTTCGTCCCTCTCTCCCCCCGGGTTTGTTCCCCCTGACCCCCCGGGTTTTTCCCCCCCTGACCCCGCCTGATTTTTCCCTTCTGATCCCGCCGGGTTTGTCCCTCTCTCCCCCGAGTTTGTCCCTCCCTCCCCCGGGTTTTTCCGCGCTGATCCCGCCGGGTTTGTCCTCC